TAAATAATTTTAAATTAACCTAAAACTTCTATCAACATTCAACACTTCAAAGAATCAAAATTAACCTAAAACTTCCCTCCACAACTCCACAACGGCGTTGAGCGAGGCAGTCCAGAGATGGGACATTAGAGACGGTAGAGGCCTTCAGCGGTTTGGCCGTTCAAGCCAAAACCGAAGAACTAGAAGCTGTACAACCTGTGCGCCTTCCGACCGTGACTCCGTAGTCCGCCTGTTCAGTGTACCGTGAAGGTGATTTCTTCAATTCTACTCCTCGATTAACCATTGAATTTGATGACCTCACCAAATCCAAAACAAGAACAAATAAACAAATACCCTGGGTCACTGTCTCCCTGACTAAGCATATTCAATTTCTATGATTTCTTCAATTCTTTTTCGATAATGTTATGTTTATAAGTTTATTTGCAATATTTTTTGATAATGTGTATTGTGATTCTGTGAATACTGAGCCTAATATTTTATTGTGATTGAGAATTTAAGTATGGATAATGGATCATGGATGGATGATCAGGGTTGAATTTGAACTGGATTTTATAAATCTGCAATATTGCAATTCTGCATATTTAATGAAATATATGAATTTCTGCATATTTTGTGTATTTAATTGCATTTACATGTTTAGTTTTCTGTTGAGGTGTACTGCTTATTTTGGTGTTTCTGTTTATGTAAGGATTACAAATTTACAATGCTTGAAAGACTCTACCTGCTTCAATCTTGCTGTTTCAATCTGCTTATGTAAAAATTACAAATTTCTGTTTATGTAAAAATTACAAATTTTGGTGTTTCTGTTTCTGTTTCTGTTGAAGACTCCACCTGCTTCAATCTTGCTGCTGAAAGCTGCAAGTATCTTTGTTTTATGTTTATCTTTTTTGGTTCTAATATTGCTTCTTGGAAATAGTTTCCAGTTATTTGACCATCGACATGAATTGATCTAATATATGTGATACATGAATTAATCAGATGTCTTGCCATGGGTCGCGTCTTCTGTTTCGACTCCTCTCGCATCAGTTGGAAGTGCTTCAGTTGAAGTTGGAGACGAGGTAAATGAAAATCCTTCTCATTTAGATTTGGGTGATGATGAGGAGCCGACTGAGGAAATTAGAAAAAGAAAATTGACATCTAAGTGTGGCAGTATTTCAAACTACAGAGAATTAATAATGTGTCCAAAACAATTTGTAAACAATGCAAGAAATAGTTAGGTGGTGAGTCAAAAAATGGGACAAGTCATTTACGTGCTCGTTTGGATAGATGTCCCCTTCGAGGTCAGAAGGATGTCAAACAGATGTTTTTGAATCAATTTAAAGAACCTTGTGGCAGGACTGTAATGGGGCATTTAATTTTGATCAAGAGAAAAGTAGGAAGGAACTTGCAAATATGATCATCCTACATGAACTTCCTCTTTCAATGGTTTAGCATTCTGGATTTAGAAAATTTTGTAATACAATTCAACCATTATTTAAAGTTGTTTCGCGTAATACCATCAAGACTGATATCTTGAAAATTTATGATTACGAGAGAACAAAAGTAATGGGCTTGTTAGAAGGGACCAATAGTAGAATAACAGTCACTACTGATATGTGGGCATCCAATCAAAAGAAGGGAATTATGGGTATCACCGCACATTATATAAAAGATTCTTGGAGGCTTCAAAGTCGAATTTTGAGGTACAATAGTTTTATAAAATAAACTTTAAGCTACACTTGTATATCTTCATCAATTTTATGTTATCTCATGAACTTTTTTTCACCATCGATATAGATTTATATACATCCCTTGCCCCCATATCGCTGACTCACTGTCTACTGTGTTAATGGAATATCTATTTGACTGGAATATTGATCAGAAATTATCCACATTGACTGTTGATAATTGCACTACGAATGACGCTATGATTAACATTATGTTAGATAAGCTTTCTCTTGGTTCTTTGCTGTTGAATGGTAAATTTTTCCACTTGCGGTGTTGTGCACACATCTTGAACCTGATGGTAAAGGATGGTTTGGATATCATTAGCCCGAGTGTCGAGAGAATCCACGATAGTGTTTCATATTGATTAGCAACACCAAAAAGAGTTGAAACATTTGAGGCAGTTGCACGACAAATGAAAATCCATTGTGAAAAAAGTTAGCACTAGATTGCAAGACTCGATGGAACTCCACGTATCTAATAATTCATACTGCTTTACTTTATAAAGAACTTTTTCCTCGTCTAAGGCAAAGAAAGCCTTAATACAGAAGTGTACCCAATGAGAGTGATTGGAACTTGGCTACAGAGATTTGTGATAAGTTGGAGATATTTTATTAAGCAACTGAATTATTTTCAGGTACAAAATATCCTACCTCCAATCTGTATTTTCCAAATATTTGTGACATAAAGTTGGCAATCCGTAATTGGAGCACATCATCTTGTGATGAAGTCAAATGGATGGCGTCAAGCATGAAGGAAAAGTTTGAAAAATACTGGAGTGACATGCATGGAATTCTAGCAGTTGCAACTGTATTAGATCCGAGATACAAGATGAAACTAGTTGAATACTATTTCCCTCTGATCTTTGGAGATAAAGAGCAGGTAAAGATTGAAAAGGTTAGAGCATTTTGTCATAAGTTGCTCAAAGAGTACAAGAGACCACGTCATTCGACAGAAAATACATCTCAATCTTCATTATCTTCGCAATTAGAGTCGTCTACTACTGTTGGAAAGCATTTTCGCATAGTTGGTTTTGATACATTTGTTGGTCATTCCGTTGCTGCGGATTATGTAAAAACAGAGGTTGATGTTTTTCTAGACGAGCCAGTATTGCCAAGGGTGGATGGTTTTGATTTATTGTCATGGTGGAAAGCAAGTTCAATAAAATATCCGACTTTACATAATGTTGCTAGAGATTTATTAGTCATTCCAGTATCTACTGTGGCATCTGAGTCAGCGTTTAGTACAAGTGGTAGATTTGTGAGTCCACATAGAAATAGGCTTCACCCGAAGACTTTAGAAATTTTAATGTGTGCTCAGGATTGGTTTTGGACTAATATTCATGGTATTATTTATTGTTTTATATTTGTTATTTATACACTTTCTTTTATTACTAATTTTTTCTCTATTGTATGTAGAAAATTCTGTTCTTTCATCATACTCCGGAGCTTGTGCAAGGTTTAGCGATGAGGACATTGACGACAAGGTACATTTTTTTTTTGTTTAAATTTTCAGTTAAGATCATTTTTTATTAGGTATTATGGTTGTATTATTACTCTAATTACATTTCTTATTTACTATATAAGAATCAACTTTGAGTCTTAACTCTTGACCTATGCTATTAAGAGTTGTGGGGAAGAATGAAGATTGACCCATGTTAGTAAGAGTCTTCACCTATGTTGATAATATTGTTTGTTAAATTCGAATTTTACATATATTGGAAGCTAGAAACACTCAGGATGGACCTAAGGTTTATAAACTGTAGTAAATTATGCGGTTAAAATGGAATATTGACCTATGCTAGTAAGAGTCTTGACCTATGTTGATAATATTGTTTGTTAAATTCGAATTTTACATTTGAAAGTTGGGATATTGTTTGCTAAATTGGCTTTTTATTGTGTTTTTGTTTTTATTGATTTCTCTTCATAATTTTTTTTTTCAATTTAACAGTAGGAGTTTGGACTTATAATTATTTTCGTGGTTATTAATCGAACCGAACCGAAATACGAACCCAGCTGAACCGAACTGACTTTCGTGGTTATGGTGCGGTTATGATATGACCAAAAATTTGGTGGTGCGGTTATGGTTTTGGTCGAACCGACCCCGAACCGAACCGTTGTCATTCCTATTTGTGTATGATTTAAATAATTAATTAGGATGAATAATTGTCTATTCAGTTTGAGGCGTGTTTAATTTTAATTAGGTTGGATAAAATTTAAATTAATTTCATTTCACTTTTTTAAAACGGTTCGATGTTTTGAAATAGTTTGCATAGATCTAAACCAAACCACTTTAAAGCGGTTTGGCTCGTTCAAAACAAAACATTGACAGATCAACATGGACTCAAACCAACGATTTCAAAAAAACAATTTCAGTTCGATTTTGCGGTTTGACGGTTTCGTTGTTCAACCCTGATTGATACTTTCTTTGTCGGCAATTTGTGAACAAATCATCACAAAGGACATCTTTGTGACTAAGTAATTTGGCTATTTTTCAATAAACACATTGAACTTCGAGGTCTGATTTCAATCAACACCACATATGCATGAACATTTTATTAAGCGAATAAAGCTGTTTGCACAATCTTTGTTGACAACTCATGTTATTAAGATATGAGATGTTGATTTAAAAAACACTTGTGGTTATCAACAAATTTGTCAACCATGATTCTACATGTAGCACCTCTCTAACCTAGGAGAAACCTAGGAGAGTTGGTTCAATTCATTTACAGAAGACAACCGGTCAATTCTCCGTATTCCATCAACAAGTTTCGTTCATATATTATTTAATTTTCACTTCTAAGGCAATCTCTCCAGAAAGCAAAAAATTCAGCAAATCAAGAAATGGAGCCATGAAAGTGACGCGTCAAGCCAAGCCCCAATCCAAGAGCACGTGAGAAATGAAAAGTACGGACATACTAATGACCAAATATCGAACAAATGGAAACATGAGTTGGCTTTTATTTTAGACTCTATAGAATAAGCACAGTTAACTATCTGCTTGAAAAGTGAAAACCCACTTGTCCATTCGATTCAAAGCTGTGTATGTAAATAAAGATTCACAAACCCCCAAAATGTACTTGTGAATTTCAACTAATCCATCTGAGAGATGGTAACATTACAAACCTTGCTCAAGTAATGCAATATCAGCCACGACAAAATTGCGTACATACACCAACTGCAACCCTATACATTATGCAAAATTAGGCCCTACAGTTCAGAAAGACCTTAAAAAAAAAATCCCGCATATCCTTTCAAACGGCTGATATTTCTATTTTCGAAAAAGGGGCTGATACTTTAAGACTTGGAGACCGATTTATGCAACACGGTCGTTCCTTGAAAGATCATCATTTGGTACTCCTTTTTGTACCGATCAAGCTGAAAAAGCAAACACAAATACAAGCATTGATAATAAATTCTAGTTTCCCACAGCGCACGTGAAATGAATACACAATAACAAACTGAACATACTTCTTCATCGCTGATCTTTTCAAAACCAAACTTGTTCTTCCACAAAGATTCGGCTTCATCAGCAGCAGGAAGCACCAGGCTTTTCACATTCAAAGTTGCGAGAAGATTTTCAATACAGAAAAAGAGCGACTGGAAGTACCCCTGCGAAAAAGAGATTGTATCTTTGAGGTCGATGGTATTCCAGATTCATGAAATATAGTTTTTCTATATTTGAACAAAATATGGAATAGGTTGAGTAACTGAGAGATCGGACCTTTCCTTGATAACCACTAAATGTGGCAACTAAAGGTAGCTCTGCAACTTCCTGCCCAAAAATCCGAACAATTCCGGCAGATACGACCAATGAGCTAAAAAAACACACTATATCAGAACAGATGTGATTTCAAAGCATTATCAACGCAATACATAATTAAATATTTCTCACTTGACTGTCAGTATGGCACAATACATGCCCCCCAAATCTTGGTCCTTGTATCGCTTCCTACAAATCATCAGCAACAGTTAAAATGTAGGTCTATACGAAAACAGTGCACAAAAGAAAGTTATTTGTTTCTAATTTCATGCATAAATGTAAAGGCATTATTACCCATAAACCATCTTTGGAATAAGATCAAGACGTTTGGTACTGGAATCAGCTATAGGATCAAACTGCTCCTGTAACACATTTTAAGATGGAAACTACTCATTAAGCACATTATATAACAATCAGAAAAGTAAAATGAGGGACCCAAATCAAACAGCAGATGAAAAAGAGACGCATCTCCACTCTCTGTCATACAATTCCATTTAATTGTAAATTTTCAAAAGACAAGGTAGATTAGCATAAAATCATTTCAAAGCAGAGGAGAAAAAGGAAATGGCTAGGGGAAATACATGAAAAATAGTTTCTGCCCCAGAAAGCCACACATTGGTATCTTCAGAAGCCAACTTCCCACTCAGAAGCCTCCATCTTATATCAACCTCAGGATTAACCTCTGAACTTTTTTTCTCGTGTTTCTTCTTCACAAGGTTCAAGAGAGCTTCTGGAAGCATCTGTTCACCATCTATAACCAATTCCTGGAGAGCAGAGTGGATACTTCTGCACGATGTGCAACAGAACCATTTGTCTTTTGGTAATTCCTGTAATGTGCACAACATCATCAATTTACTAAGAAAATTCTATAAGCACATAGACAGAGTCATTTCTAGAAACTGAGGAACCATAATATGTGATTACATTTTCAACGAACCTTTAAGTCATCCATTTTCTGCTCCCTCAGACAACCAACATGATAGTCCTTCTCGCACTAAAAAAATGACCCACGATTTTATCATGCATGCGAAATAGGTAAACAAAAAGCATTTTCATTTGATTTCAAAGCCTGTCTCATTGAAGAACATGACAAGAATACAGTAATACCTGATCACAGATAATAACTGTACGGTCATTAAATTCTGATGCAATGAAATCATCACCCCTGCAAGCACCGAACTGGAATCATTTATAAGGGGGAAAAAGAAGCCAAAGGCACCACAAAAAAGGCTAGAAAATAACAGAAAAGGTCAATGGCAGAGTATAGAGATCAACGGCTATAAGTTAGATTGTTTTATCAACAACTAAGAAGAATGAGTGGATCATCTTTAAAAGGATAAGAGCGCAAAATATATTATTATAGAAGTTGTACTAAGTGAAGCCTCTAACAAGTATATAGCTCAGCATTGATATGACATTAGCGGAAAAGACTTGCGTATTACAATAACCACCCAGCTGAAACAGATATGTGAACAATTTAGCAAATGCTTGAAGTAAATATTAATAGAAATTCAGTTAGAGAGAGAATGGAGAAAAAACTCAACCCGCAAACTGCACAACCACCAGCATCAACCTCTGTTGTTTCAACAATACGTATGCACCTTTGGGTTATTTGTTGGAGAGCATTGATTCCGGCAACTCTCCCAGCAGCAATGGCATTAGTATTGTGCTCTGCATACTGTTCCTTCAGGATCATGTTCTCGCAGTATTTACAATACCAACTTTCTTGAGGGATACTTGGAAGAGAAACACATTCTGCAAGAGGAACCAAGCATTAAAAGTAAGGCAGTGGAAAGAGGATTTATAAGATTGGTAACCATAAATTACCTATAAGCCAATAAAAAGAAGAAAATCATTCTATTACAAAATTGCAGCAGCATGAATGCGGTAAAAAAAAAATAACTCCTAACTTAAATGAAAACGAGAACACCAAGTAACATTCAAACACCAAGATTGACACAAGACATAAGTTGAAAGACGAATAAAATAGCATCTCAATTTATTTATTAATTCTCATTTCAGATTACTCCTACTTCAAAGGAGCAAAGCTGGAACGGAATCAATACATTAGGATACCATATCCAATTGAACAACTGCAACTTTTTGCAAGGTTCAAGAAAGGACAGAAAACTCATTGAACCGGCAATAATGCTAAAAAAAACCAAGACATACTTACCAATGTGAAAAGATCGTGGACAATTGTCACAGCATATAAGATCTCCATAATCAAAGCATATGGAGCAGAGATCATCATTTTCCTCCGCAGAGACTCTACGTTCTTTTGACAGGCTGAGGGATAGCTCATGCAGAGACACCCCATTGGATGTAAATATGTTATGGTAACTGTCAGGCCAACAAGAACCATGTTAATGCTTACACAAACCTAAACCAATTCAAAGAGATTATACTAATTATTACTTAGGCCTCTGATCAACATATCTGGTAGTCCTTGAAGGTGCTCTTGCCAACTTTATTATGTCAAGTGTTAGCAACAATATTTAAAAAGATTGGCAATTTGTCAAATTTGTTGCCTCATAATGTGAAACAAATCACAGGACCAATTTGCCATGAAGAATAATATGACCTCTCATGGCAAAGGGTTAAACAGGAAAATGCAAGAAATACTCACGGCTTTCGGCGAGAAGCAAAACCAGCATGTGCCTCAAATTGAGAGGGGCTCACCTGTTCATAACAATAAGAATGTTAACATCACAGACAATGTGCTTTTTACTGCTATAGCAGACAAAGAGCATGTTTGAGTAAGCTTTTAAGGGGTTCACAACAACCTTATAAGCTCATCCAAACATGCACAAAATGTATAATTTAGATTTTCATACAACGCTAGGAAATGTACCACATTGTTGCAGCAAAAGCAGAATATGCCATAATCTTCCTTGTAACCCTCAAGCTTTTTCTGCTCACAGGAAGAAGTAACGAAAGGTTAAAACTCTTTCTTCAAATAAATGGATGACTTCGTTTCAGAACTACTCTATAATGCATATATCAAGCAACAACCAATAATTTAATCTAAAAAGAAGCGGAAAAAAGACGAGAATAAATGCTATAAATTGCAGTGACCTTTCCCTGAACATAATAAGCCAATGCTGTGCGCTCAGGAAGTACATCATCCTCAAATACCAATCTGTGCATTCTCTGATCCCTGCAAAATGGAAACAGAAAGAATTAGTACTATGCTTAGTAATAAATACAGGCTACAGCAAAATCATGTTACATACTCAGATTTTACATTTATGAAACTGGAAGGTATAGTAAATGCCCCACAAAAATAAAGAGTACTTACTTCTTTGTTAGCCTCCCCTGACCTTTTATTTGAGAATAACTACTCATAGGCATTTTAGTACTCCCCTGACCCCTTGTTCGAAGCTGACTAGTTGAAGATATTGGAGGAGATGGTTTTGTAGCAGTCAACGGAGACCTGAAATCATTGAATATAGGTAGTCATTCACTGTAGAGTGTCATACAATAAGCAACCACTTTATTCCAAATCATCATGTGCAAATAATTTGATTTCAAGAAATTAAGACAAGCAACAAACTTATTAATCTCAAAAACATCCTAAATGAGTAGAAAATAGGTAAAAGGACCATCATCAGAGGAAAAACCAATACACCATACACAATTCATCAGTAGAAAAAGAAACAGAATTCTGTAGAATCAGTAGAGATGTTGAAACCAAATTGATATTTAAACTCATGAATATCAAATATTTGCTATCATTTATAGATAAAAAAAAATTGTCAATTATAGTAACTTGACAAATCAAGTTCAAAAACAAATTCCATCTACAAATCAACTCTTAACAATTACAGAAAATGAGAAAAATATACTTGTTTTCCACAACTACAACTGAAACTTCATCTGTTGCATCAATATGGACAGTGCCTAACATTCATCAGAAAATTATAAACAAGCAAAAACTGTACATTTGTCTGTAAAAACCAAGTTATTCAAGCCACCCCAACTAGAAATAAATTTTATCAACATTATGCACAATATATAGGCTAAATTGATATTTGACACCAGGTAAAATTCACAGTGAAAGACAAAGCCCTTGTTTGATGTGTAGATTTTTTGAGAAGTTCATTTGTTAATAGTGATTTTTTATTTTATTTATTTATTTATTTGTAGAATGTGTAGTTAAAAATGGAAAAGTTACTTGCAAAATTATTCCATTCGGAGAAAAGTGATTTTGCAAAACTCTAAATCAAACAAGGGCTAAACATAAACATCCAAGGAACGTGAAGAGCCGAAAAGGTAACATAACCAACAACCTAACAGTCAACCAAAATTTGCTTAAAATTAAACCTAAGTTTGCTCCAGTTTTCCTTATTCCTATTGACCATTGTCACAGTTAAACCCACCACCATGTCTTATCTGGGTCATAGAAGCTTTTACATTTTTGTTCTTGCTTCTCTTCGTGTTGTTGACTAGAGAATTCTCGACCTAATTGTGATTTGTGCGATTAACAGGGCACGTGGTCAATTGCTTTAACTAAATTAGTATGTGGTGTGGGCTCATGGGCTGGTCATTAAAATGATAGGCGGGCCCAATTGCTTTTTTTTTTTTTAGGGGTGGGGGTGTGGGGGTCGGGGGGTGAGGTCAAGGCTAACATGGCTCCATCCCTGCTGCATATGATCACTTCATTGTCGTAAATCCCACATCAAATAATAAAGAAATAAATAGACAACATATAAGAATTTGAACTACTCTAATAAACAAGATTGACTTTTTAAAATGGAACATCAATTCCCATATGAGATCAGAACTATTAAATTCAAAAGAGTAAAAGGATTCCAAGACGGGTGTTGTACCCGAAACTGACACAGGTGGGTGGGTAGAGAATATCTAGGGCACCAGACAACTCTCTCTAAGGAATTCTCCAACAAATCACAGTTTTGCACGAATGTTTAAGGGATAATCCCATATCGATTAAATATCAAAGCCATAACTAACATATAAATGTTTGAACTACTCCTCTTAACGAGAGATACGTTTTAAGATGGAATCTCAATCTTAATATAGTACTAATCTACCCGAGCTCATTATGGTCAAACGAGCCATACAATTTGACTAAGACTCATACAAGTACATGAATTCCAGTATTGGTATTCTCAAACGAGCCACCATCTCGCATGGACATATTAAAAGTACATTCCACATCAATTAACCATGAAATAAATATACAACATATAATGACTTCGACTACTCCTCTAACAAGATTGAAATGGGATCCCAAATCTTAAAGCTTGTTTGGTAAAGATTAAAATTGGATTAAAATTAAAAAATTAGCCGTAACTGTTGACTTTTATTAGATGGGTGGAACTCAATAGCGGCTATATTTTCAATTTTAATTGGATTACAATCCCTATGCTCGCTTTGAAGTTTGCTATCTAACACTCCTTTTGAATTTTTTATTTTTTTTTTAATTCACGAAATCGAAGGTCTTGTATAGCATAAATATAAGAATAAAATAAACATAAGCAGTCATTACTTTGAATCTATCTACGATACCTATTCGCCGTATCACTGATCTCTGTAAGGTTGGGATGTGACTCTTTTGAAAAACAGGAATCACATATTGATCTGCCAATGCCAGACACAGGTACTGACCCTAAAAAGAGAATAACGTGTTAAAGGCTCCACATAATGCAAAGGTTATCTATCATATATTATAATAGATGGGTGCAAAAATCACCTTTGCAATTGAGACAAAACGTTGTCACCTTTGACTCAGACTGACCAATGACATTCTGAATTGCCAATTCCAACGCATCCAGGGGAGCATTCTTGCATGCATTTAGCACGTCACATAGAGTATTCCCGTTCTCCAAATAGATGTATTCTGGTGGGCGTTTGTTTGCACTTCCTGCGTGCAATTCAAATTGATTTGGGGTGACAACCTACATCAACAGTAGTTCACAATGAGCACAAGAGAATTATATAATGATTCAATTTACTCCATAAAAAGTGTTAATCTGAACCCTTACTTTTGTTCCCTTGCACTCATCACAAGAGCATAATATTCCAGAGCCCCGAATAGATCCCCGAAGTCCAGATTCCAGCCCTCTCTTCACCCAAATATATTCAAATTAACAAGAAAAATCAACCAAATACCCAAAAAAACCATATCAAAATTCATTTCAAGTGAAACAAAATAGAAAGTTTGATTATTTTACCTTTGAACGATGAATGTAACGAACAGCTAGACCCTCAAGCAACCCGGTGTCCAGTAGATCCTTTAGCTTTCTTGGAACCCTCTTCAATTCAACTTTCTTTGACATTTTCATTTCTAACTTCGATGGACTACTTGTCATAGTCATTGCACCGTCAGTCTCATCAGCTTCCGTCTTCAACTCTCCTGGCCCGGATCCCAACTCCACAGTCTCCTGCAGCTTTAAAGCTGACCGTGTAAACCTCCTTGCCTGCTTCTCCGATAATCCACATAACCTTCTCTCACGTCCTAATTCTGAGGTTTCTTCAAAAGTTTTATCTTCTTCACAGACCAATTTTATTTCATGGCTTCCAACCCGAGGCAATGATGATTCAATGCACATTGGCTGCTCTATACCATTCAGTTCAGTAACTGTTACCTCAACCACAGTCTTCCCTCCTTCGATAGTTGGCCAATTTTCCAAATTTCTCAACTCCTCTTCTTCATTAACTACTACCTCCACCATATTACTATTTGGCCAATCCTCGTTGTCCAATATTTTCATCTTCTCTTCTTCATTAACTACTACATCGATCGTATCACTATTTTCGACTCCCTTGTTGTCCAAAACCTCAATATATTCTAATTTCTTGGCCTCTTCTCCTCCCAAATTTTCTTCTGTATCCTTTTTTCTTCTCTTCGCAGAGGGCCCCCTTCCTTCTTTTCCAGTTTTATCACCACTCTCGACAGCATCTTTGCTGCAACCACCACTTATCTGGGACCTTGTCACTCTCCTTTGTCCTGAAGAAACCATCCCTATTTCCGATTGTGCCTTCATCATCATAGCAAATTCCCTTTTCATCCCAGCCCGAATTGATGACACCACAATTTCATCTGAATCCATATCCTTTGCCATTGCAGCAAAAAATGAACAAATCCCAAAAAAAAAAAAAAATCAATCACAGATCTAAAATAAAAAAACCAGGAAACATATCATCACGAAGTCGAAACCCCATCAATGTTCAGATTGCGAAACCCAAAAAAAAATAACAAAAAAAGCTCGAGAATTTCTTGTAAACATTCAGATTCCCAACAGCAAAATAACCTCAATTCACGAACTTGCGCTTCTAGTTCTAGGCGAACGGATTTCAATTACAATGGCTAAATTTATACGAAGAATTAAAAAAAAGCAATTTGATGAGGTTAGGGCTTTTTTCTGGAAATCCCAAAAGCCTTACCTGTACGACTATATGTATGTATAGGTTTGATAAGAGAAGGATCCTGAGACGTAAGAAAATATAGTTGTAATGCCTAAAATGCCCCCTTAGAAAAATTTATTTCCTATGTAGCTCATAAGAAAAATTATAAGGATATTATAATTGCATCATTATGAAATCAAAAAATTTATGACGTGGGAAATTAGTGTAATTGTTGGCTAGCAGCATTTACATTTTTTAGGAATACATTAAAAAAAATAATAAACTATTATTTTAAAAAATCAATTTAATAAATAAAATTATTTTATTTTATTAAATAAATATTAGAAAGAAAAAGAAAAAGAAGAAACTCTTCTCCTAATCAAGAACTAGGGGTTTGATTTGAATTTTGGGCCCACCCAACCCCAACCAAATAACTTGGTTTTTGGGGGAGTAGAAGACGGAGAGGGGGGCAGCCACCAATGACGAAAGGAGCTAGTTACCATTGGAGCTAAGGATTCAGAAAGTTGTACTACTGTCTTTTGGGGCGAACTCCATATTTTGATTGAAGTCCTGAAAGATTTGCTTATGGTAATCTGTCCCATTATTACTAGACCGGCCTGCTATTTTTTTTTTTAAGGCACAATCCAATCCGAATCAAAGTTGGGCCAATACTCGAGCTAATTTAAATCAACATGATTGGGTTAGTTTGGTTGAGTTAGTAGGTTTAAGCTCCAAATTCAATCAAATCATAAAATAGGACTAGATCAAGTTTTTGACCTACTTGAAACGAATCGAAAATTCAATTTTCTTGATGGCCCTACCCAACTTCAAGCCAATACCCCGAACCAACACAACCGAATGTGGACGGTTTGCTTCGGTTGAGTTAGTCGATTTATACCTCAAATACAATCAAATTGTAAACAGTATACAAACTGTGAAATTTTGGAGTGTCAACTAGGGTATTGTATCAAATTCAATCCACAAATTGAAGAACTTTTGAAATTGGGAAATAGAGCATTTTGAGTAAACTTGTGAAAAATCAGAAGAAGAAGAAGCAAAAATAAATAGAAAAAAAAAATGTAAATAGCGGGGAACATGTGGGAGCAGGACTGGGCCTTGGAGATGGTTAGAGAAAGGGAAAGAGCTTTTATTCTGGGCTTTTAGTTTTTGACTCTTTTTCTAGTTATTAACCACGGGACAGGTTGCGTTGCGTACTCGAATATCCAAAGTCAAACCGATCCGATTGAATTTTGTGAAAAAATGAACCGAGCCATTCAAGCAAATACGGGTTGGCTTGTTGAGTTATCGGGTTCACAAAAACCCAGTTGAGAAAATTTAAGAAAACAAAAACCAATTAAAAAGAATGATAAAAAATAAAATCTGTTAAAACTATCATGAAGATCTTTGCGAAAAAGAAAAAAAGGAAATAAAGAGGACATGAAGACCGAATAATAGAGTAAGAAATCCAGCTGAAAAAATTCCAAGAAAGCAAAATAAAAATCATTCAAATTATCATAAAGAAACTTGTGATAAATAACTTGCTTTTATGTTAAAAACATTTTGATTCACTTACCTTTTTCTACCTTTTTTGTGCTAAATTCTTGACCATAAAGAGAAGATCCCTAGTGTAAATCTGTAAAAATGATTATTGCTGGGATGGATTTCATGTAACGTTAGGGGCTCACAGTTGAGGAAGTGAGCTGCCGTGGGTGTTTGACCACTGGAAGGAGAGAGAATGGAGGCGGAGAAGCAAGAGTTTGTGTGATCGCTGAGAGGAAGTATTCGGACTATGGTTTTGTGAGATTGAAAGAGGCCAGGAAATTATTCTAACGCAGGCGGAAGTTTTCAATTGGAGTCGTCAATAGGGATGAGCATGGCCATGTCAGTTAGGTTGGGTCGATTTTCGGTTCAACCTAGAATTGAAAACCAACCAAGTCGGTTTGGGTAAATATTTGCAATCCGAAACGACCTTTTTTTAGGCTTCCTTAATGCATAGAATGAAAATTTTTACAAATTCACGAATGTGGACCAGTTTGGATTTTATGAGTTTTACATGTTATAGATCCGGTGGTGGGTTGCAATTAAGGTTATGGTGCTTTGGAATGAAATGGTGGTGGTGAAGGTGGTGATGATGGTGACAAATTAAAGATGGGTAGCGATGATGGTGGTAAGATGAAAATTGGTCTAGCGTTTTGATGATGGTGATGATGATGGCGATGGCAATTGCCTGTAGCTGATGGTGGTGCAAATTTGGTTATCAACCGCGATAGTGGCAGATGGTGACTTTTTTTGATGGTTGTCGTGATGGAAATAGGTAGTGAAATAATGGTGTTTTTGGAGCTACAGTGAGATGAGGTATGGATATTCTCATTGTGTTGGAGATGATCGTCGTATCGGCGAAAAATGGCATAAAACATTGTATTACATGTGTAATATGAATGTAACACACCTATTACACGTGTTAAGAAAAAGTGTAACACCGTATTACATTTTTTTGACAAAAATCTAACACGTATTATGCACTCGTTACACGTGTAACACAATATTACACGTGTTAAGAAAAAGTGTAACACCATATTTTATTTTATTTTATTGACAAAAAAATACACGTTCGATTTTTGTAACACGTGTTATGAAAAGTGTAAAAAAGTATGAATAATATTTTTGTAATAAAAATAGTATTTTTGTAATAGAAAAAGTAATGCAGTAGTTTTGGAAATAGTCTGTTTCTTCAATGTAGTTATGAGAATTGCCAATAACATAATGTATTTTTAATTTATTTTTGGTTGGGTTACGTTGTGCCGGATAATATCTTAATTGGGATTTATCATAAAAACCGATTAAACACTAAAAAAAAAAAATTCTTGATGTTCATCAAATGATCGTAAAGACTGCATTTCTTAATGGAGATTTAGATGAAAAATCAACAATATAAAGTTTGGCTAACTAAAATATCTAATAAAGAATCAACAATATAAATTTAAAGTTACTTTTTTAGAAAGTACATTATTATTTTAAAAACAAAAAAAAAAAAGTAATCCTAAAAATCATGTTTACCAAATAAGTAACTTAAAACTAAGCTTCACTTACCTTTAACCACTACGAAATAAGTAAATTATGGTTTGTGCCTATTAGGTTTAAACGATGAAAATAAGTTGGATAATTTGTTTAAACTCCTTTACACATCAAAATGAATTCGGGCTACGAAAATTTAGCAATTAAAATTTTTCCTTAGTAAGAAATGACATACAAGATTACAATTTCTTGAATTTTGACGGCACATTTTGTGCACATAATACAATAAAAGGATCTCAATTATTTTTATACACATATTTCACTTTACCAAACAAATCAAAGAATGGAATAATAGGTTAATAAACATCAAATTGAAACGTTCAGTTCAAGAATATGTCCGCTCTGCATGATAAACATTCACAAGATAAAACCCTAGAAATATTGCCAAGAAACTAGAAATCCGTCGTACTACATGAAAACCCACTGCTCTCCTATTCTGATTTTTCCATACAGCTAGCCTCTGGTATAGCACAGTCGAGATTCAGAATACATAAAATCAAAAAGGGGAACAAAATATTAGGAAACAGATCCTTGATTTTCATCATTAAATACTGAAATTTGGAATTTTGGTGATGAATCAATAAATATGCCAAGGGATTGAAGTTGCCCTGCAGGAGAAACAAATTTGTTGGACACTTAAAAATCGTCATTCATCTCTCTCTTTATGACAGATGAAAAGCCTAATATAGCCACATCCATCTCCACCACCAACGAATTGGCCAAACGACGGTGGCGGGGTGGTGGTGGAGGTGGCCCTACCTAGTGCCTCTTAAGAGACCTAATGGAAAAAGCTTAATATATACTGGACTTGGGATTGTGGAATATGCTTGCATCTCCCACGCGTTTACAGATAATGGCATAATATTTCAAGGGATATGCTGCGACCAACTAAGTTGCTCCACCTCTTTTCCTGTTCTTTGTCAGCAATAATTATTCTACCATACAAATTAATTTGGTATTTAATCACGCTTTATTGGCTGAAATATTGTCCAATCTGTTGATTTTCGGACAAGTGTACATATAATATATGTTTGTAGCGCGTGCTATCGAGATTTTGTAGTCGACGTCAACCTCTACTTGGATATTTCACGAATGTTCAGTTGTACATCGACTATGACCCTCCAACATTTAAATTAAGAAATTAATGGATGTGCTAGAGAGTAGAATAGAAGTATTCTACCGTTGTATACCTCTTTACACAATGAATTTTTTACTCAACTCAACTACTTAATCAAATATCAAATGTGAAGAGTAAAACAATTCTTACGAGGTCTTTGAGTTAGATTTTTCGTCAATAGTAATGAAATCCGATGATGAATGTCACTATCGTGAAAGTTAAAAGTTATTAAAACTAATAATTTAAGATTAATATTGGAAATTTTCTTCAGTAATAATTTCAATAAATTTAGTTTTTTTGTAGAATTTTCGTCGTTAATTAAATTTATAAATATTACCTTAAGAAAATAATGTTCATAAAAAGGTAATTTAACTTCGGCTTTTCAGTTAATACTGTTAATAATGTGAATATTTTACACATTTAAATTGTTGACAAAAATTTCATCAATAAATAAAGTTATGAAAATAACAAAATAATATAATAATGAAAATTCCTTTGGAAATAAAATATATTTTAAAAAATAAT